CCTGAGCCTGATGGTTATAACGCACTTCGGTGGACGTCCTCGTCGCGCTGACGGTGGGATGAAATAGAAGTGAGAAAACGTCGCAAATGCTGATTGAATACAGCTCTGTGTTAATAAGAGAATGAAAATGAGGCTCAGTTGGACTAGCACTAGAAAACAGAAATCGTGCAACTAAAAGACTTACCTGGTCAGACTGGTTGTGGTCAAAAAGTTTGAGTCGTGTCCATTGTTGTATAGCGTCATCCATGCGGCATCACACGTACATCCAGGCAACGTGATTTTGAGTGATGACTGTTCGCACCGCGGAACGTCCCAAACTTTCTAGCAGAAAGCAGTTCACTTCAGGATGGACAGTACGCAATCTCAAGCCGTGCCTTGCGAAGGCGTCGCAAAGACGCAGCAGGAGGTCGATATCGTGTTCTTTCTCGTCCATCTTGCCCAGGAGCGGGTTGAAAGGGAAATGGCAAACTTCAAGTGGGATCTAGAAAGGTTTCTGTCCGGTTGGTAGCGCCCATGGCCCGTATGGTGTGCATCGACATGGGTCCCTCTTCATCGACTAGAGCGGCCCAGCTTACTGTATTTGTGGCATCTTTCCTGTGGTATTAGTCGACTTAGAGCTCGAAATCCCACTATATATCCGCAGCAGATATGGCAGTTGCTTTCTGTTGGAAGACGCCCAATGGGACAATAGGGCCATTGTTCTGGGGTTAGAGCGGGATAGCGTATCTGAGGTTTTCTGGATAAGCATTTCCGTTGGCTTTGCATATGGAATAGAAAGGGTGCACAGCCAAAATCCAGCGTATACTTAGCCACTCAACATATAACGTCAGCTTAACCTGTTCAACCCCGAGGTAATATTAGCGATCTGGAAATCACGGCAGTCATGGCACTGTGGGTTCATGGACGGCAAGGACTTCCGGGCAAGCGCACATACAAACGAATCGAACATGGTACTATATAGATATAAATATATAGCTAACGCACTATCTCTCTATATGTGGTGTAAGTACAACAACCTTCTAATGCTAACCAACAAAATGCAATGTATACTGGATGGCTGCCCTTGCTCTTCGTGATTGGCACAATCTGCAACGCAGTCGATGGTTGTACCATATGGAGCAAGTAAAACTGCCCAGGATGGAACATGGAATGATTCTGATTGTGACGGGTCACACAGCACCTTGCGCTGAGGAAGTAGGCTTCCAAGAGTATACAAACTCTAAGTGAACGACCGTTCACGTGTCCCTGGTCTGAGGGGACGAAGTACTCACTT